AACCATTTTGGAAGTCAGTATGGAGTTTCCTCAGGAAAATGGGACTCAGCCTACCACAACACCCAGCAATTTCACTCTTAAACATATACCCAAATCAGGCACACTCATACAACAAGGATATCCATCCCACTATGTTCATGGCAGCATTATTTGTAATAACCATATAATAGAAGCAACCTAGATGTCCCTCAACTGAAGAGTGGATAAAGAAAATGTGGTACATTTACACAATGAAGTACTACTTAGCAGAAAAACAATGGAATTTTGAAATTTGCAGACAAATTGATAGCACTAGAAGAAACAATTCTGAGTAAGGTCACCCAGTCACAAAAAAACAACAACATGGTGTGTTCTCCCTCATATATGAATTTTAGACATGGATCAGAGGAGTAGCAACCTATAATCCTATTTCCAGAGAGTCTGGGAAACAGGGAGAACCCTAAGTGAGATAGGCATGGTACCCCAGAAATTGGGAATGGTACAGGATATCCTGAGCAGATTTGGAACATGGGGGGAGGGGAAAGGAAGCAGAGAAAAAGAGAGGGGAAGGAGAGGAGGGAAGAGGAGGACATGGGAAAGCAGGAAGGGTGAGTCCGGGGAAGAAAAGAGAAAAGCAGAATGAGAGATACCATAATAGAGGGAGTCATTATAGGTTTGAGGAGAGATCTGGCACTAGTGAAATTTCCAGATATATACAAGGATGACACCAACTGGCAAACTAAACAATGGTGGACAGACTACCTTAATAGCCCCTCCGTGATAATGAGATTGATGACTACCTTGTATGTCATCCTAGAGGCTTCATCTAGTAGCTGATGGAAGCAGAGCCACACCTAAACACTAAACTGAACTCCTGGAACCCAGTTGCAGAGAGGGAGGAGTGATGAGCAAAGGGGTCAAGACCAGGCTGGTGTAATGCACAGAAACTGCTGACCTGAACAAGGGGAAGCTTATGGAACCCAGATTAATGGATAAGAGAACAGCATGGGACTGATCCAGACCCCCTAAATGTGGTTGTCAGTGAGGAGGCCTGGGCAATCTATCAGACCTGGGGTAGTAGATCTGCATTTATCCTTGGCTTACAAATGGACTTGGAAGCCCATTCCACATGGAGGGATGCTGTCTCAGGCTGGACAAATGATGGAGGGCCTAGGTCCTGCCCCAGATGATAAACAGACTTTGGAGACTGCCCAAGGAGGGTCTCACCCTCCCTGGGGAGCGCAGTGGGGGATGGGTGGGGGATGGGGGTTGGTGTGGAGCAAGGGAGGAGGAGAGAATGAGGGAGCTGGGATTGACATGTGAAGCAAGCTTATTTCTAATTTATATAATAAAATGTAATAAAAGAAAAAAGGTATCAGATTATTTAATTTAGATACTGATTGCTTCCATTTAAAAAGTAGTCACCAAAATAAATTTTTATTTTGGGGATGTATCATGCCATTCAAAAAATTTTCATGACTGAGGAATGATTCTAAATTTTCTTCACTCATGAATAACTTTAATTGTATTTGGAAATATTGCTAGATTTACTCTATTCAATTAATTAACTACCCATTTCTGTTTTCTTCAATGGAATGTCATAAAGTATATTAACCACATTATAAAATAGGACTCATTTCTGGTCAATGTTGGCCAACACAAAACAGGCTCTGTGTCTTAAGTGCATTTTTTGGTTTTTATTTCATTGTACCTGTTATTTTTGTCTTATTTGTGTTTTGTTTGTCCATTTTATTCCCTTCTTTTACAATAAAGAACATGTAGTTGATGGATAGGGAGATTGGAAGGTTCTGAAGGAGTTGGGGGGATAATATGAACAAATATATTGTATGAAAACATTAAGTCATGAAATAAATGAATGAGGTATCTCTGGCCCAGACAAACAAATGCTAGTTTTGCCTGTCATATGTGAATCATATCTTTAATTTTTAAAATTTCTGTGTTTTCCAGGAGTGCTGGTGCATGCCTTTAATCCCAGCACTTGGGAGGCAGAGGCAGGCAAATCTCTGAATTCCAGGTCAGCCTGATCTACATGGTGAATTGTGACAGAGTGAGTTCCGGTATAGCTAGAGCTACACAGAGAAACCCTGCCTCAAAAAAAAAACAGGCAAAGGCTTTCTCTGTTTAAATTTGAGGGTTGCCTGGTAGTGGTGGTGCACACCTTTAATCCCAGCACTCGGGAGGCAGAGGCAGGCAGACCTCTGTGAGTTCGAGACCGGGCTGGACCGACAGCCTCCAAAACAATACAGAGAAACCCTGTCTCATAAAACCAAAAAAAAAAAAAATTGTGTGTTTGCAGAGGCCAGGTATCAATATAAGTGTGATTGGGGAATGTTCTTCTGTATGTATGTTTCTCTTATTGGTTAATGAATAAAACAGTAATTGACTGATTGACCAGACTGCAAGTGATATAGCTGAGCAGATTCAAGAAATAATCAGGGACAAACAGGAAATCACTTTCTTCTCTGTGGAAATGCTAAGCAGTCATCATGTAGCAGGCAAAGCAGTTGCAGGTCCGGCCTTCTCTGGTAAGACAAGACCACATGGAAATTCATGGATTATTGTTATGGGTTAATAATTAAGACAGAGCTAGACAGTAAGAAACCCAAGTCACGGGCCAACAGCTTTATAGCTAATATAGTGTCTGTGTGTTATTTGGGGCTGACCCAGCTATGGGACCATGCTGGAAGGAAAGAGTTAATGTAGCATAAGGGTTGTGAGAGATATATGTGGGAAGATGGAATATTAACGTAGAGAATACTAGAGCTGAAAAGAATTAGACAATTGAGAAAATGCCCCCATAATTCCTGGATATAAGGCATTTTTTAAACTAGTGATTGATGGGGACCCAACCCATTCTCAGTGCTCCCATTTTTGGGCTGGTGGTCCTGGGAATTATTTGCTTTTTGTAGACACAATAATCATGTGTGTCTTCTTTTCATTCATGGCCATTGACTATGAATCCATGAGGGTGAAGGAAGCAGAAGCATCCAGTAGGGTTCAGACAACCATGAGTAGGATGGAAAGACCCTCCAGAAGCAACTTCAGAGAGGCAGCTCATTTTCTTGTTCCAGGAGCAAAGAATATAAGGATTGTTATGGTTATGGGTGAGAAGGGCTGATTGGTCACAACACAGTGCCTAATTATCATACTGGCAGGAGGAAAGCGCAAGACTTGTGTGCTCAATCATACAGCATTTGCAGGGACTATCTGCAAGATCATCCTTTAAATCCAGGTTAGCAAGAAAGCAGGTAATAGGGAAATTCCTAGGAATCCACAAGGATGACCCCCAATGAAGAATGTAAGCAATAGTGGAGAGGCTTCCTTAACTGGCCTTCCCCTGTAACCAGATTAATAACTACCTTAATTGCCATCATAGAACCTATATCCACTGTCTGATGGAAGCAGACACAGAGATCCACAGCTAAGCTCTGGGCTGAACTCCTAGTGTCTAGCTTCAGAAAGGGAGTAGAAATAACATAAGCAAAAGGGTCAAGACCATGATTGGGAAACTTACAGAAATATCTGACCTGAGCAAGTGGAAGCTCGCTGACTCCAGACTTACAGCTGAGGAATCTGCATAAGACCAATTTAGGCCCTATGAATGTGTGTGGCAGTTGGGAGGCATGGGCAGTTTGTGTGACCAGTAGCAGGGGAACCAGTATTTATCCCTAGTGCATGAACTGGCTTTTTGGAGGTCATTCTCTATCGACCTGCTCAACCTAGATGCCTAGATAAAGCTGGTCGGGCCCTGGTCCTGCCTCAATAGATGTGACAGACATTGTTGATTCCCCATGGGAGGTCTCACTTTCTCTGAGGAGTGGATGGAGACTGTGATGGGGAGAAGGTGGGAGGAGCAGGAAGACTGCAGGGAGAAGCAACTAGGGTTGATATTTAAAATAAGATTGTTTCAAAATTAAATAATAATAAAAGAAAAAAGGATTAGGCATCTGAGACTGGAGAAGTCCCACTGAAAAAGGGAGGCTTCCAGTTTGTTCCTAGTACAGAAAACTATCTGGACATTGTGGAATTTGACCTTAATAGCAGGGTTCTTCAACATAATTGTGTATAAAATATCAAAGAGAACATGCTGTAAGCACAAAAATCACATATTCTTTTGATTATTTTTTGCCACCAATTGTGACTGGGAATATCTTTTTTATTTTGTTAATTAAATTTATTTATTTATTTTATATCCTGACTGTAGTTCCCCTTCCTCATCTTCCCCTCTGTTCTGTCCTCTTCTACTCCTCGTTTTCTCATAAAAGGGGGCAGGTCTTCCATGGGTATCACCAAAGCAAGGCATAACAAGGTGCAGTAAGAATAACCTCCTCCCTTGCATTAAGCCTGGCAGTCATCCCATAAGGAAGAATAGGTTTGCAAAAAAACAGTCAAACAAATGATGCTAGTACAACTATAGGCTGGCATGTAGAAGAACGCAAATAAATCCATATCTATTACCCTGCACAAAACTCAAGTACAAGCTGATGACAGACCTAAGCATAAATCAAGGCATACTGAACTTTATAGAAGAGAATGTGGGAAATAGCTTTGAACTCATTGGCACAGTAGACAACTTACCAAACAGAACAGCTCGATATAGCTTAGTATTGAGTAAAACATCTTTATGCTACTTATTTATTAGTCTACATATTATTCATTTATTCTCAGAAATTTTGTCTATATATTCTATATTACCAAATTATATTCGTATGAATATAATCATAATTGTGTTGATTAATATTATATACACAAAGTATAGGCTAATAATTCTGAAATTAATAACTGACACAAAATTGTATGATGTTGCTATAGTTATAGTTAAGTGTTTTATAGTCATGTCCTTATCATATAAGTGTATTACTAAATCAGTTTTATATAATGTGCTAAATTTCCAATATTTTTCCACAGTGCTTATTGCATACATAACTTTCATAAAACAAAGGAGAATAACATTAGGAAAGTAAGAACGAATACTATAGAAATTTTTGTCGTTTAATCTTCTAGAATTCGCAACATGATCTCCGATGTTTTAGGGACCTGAGGTCTCCATATTGTTGGGCCTGCATATCAGCCACAACATCACAGAGAGAGAGGCTTGTCTCAGTTTCATATCCCCCAGAATCAGGACCCATGAGTGGACTGAAGGAAAAGCTAGGGCAAACACCTGACAAAATAAAATGAAAAGGCTTTTCTCCAGTAACTCATACTTCCAAATTTGTATAAAAATAGACAAGAAAAAAATGATGTATAGCAGAAGAAAGGCAATCACAGTTTTCAAGGCTCTGATGTGGGCCATGGTGCCAGCATCTCTGCGTCCTTGGACATGCTGCTGCATCTTCTTGTGATGTGTCCACAAGGAGAAGACAAGTAGAAGGAAGCATGACAGACACACACCAAAGGGAACAGACAGGAACACTGTATGAAGGATTAACATCTGCCTATAAGATTCTGCATTGTTTTGAGAATTGAAGTTGTAAGATATATTTCTTCGAGATTCATTTTTCCATACAGCAATATGCAAGTTGGCCAGTAAAACATGTGAAAACAAGAGGACCAGGGACACCAGCAGTATTATTGAAACTGTCTTTTTAACTCTCCACTTCAAATAAAGAAAAAGAGAGTTAGAAAAATTGCCTATCTTGAGAAAATAAAAGATACCAAGGCATGTTGCAAGCCAGATGCTGAAATGGTTGCCTATAATCCACAGATTATTAATGACTTTTGTCATTCTTACAGACATCATTAAAACTGGATTCAGTAAAGAGACTAATAAAGCTATGTACAAGAACCAGAGCAGACACATTCTGGAGGCGGCCAAAGCAATGAGGATTTGGTTTACGAATGAGATCCTTTTTTTCTTGACCCAGTTCATGCAGCTCAGCAGTGCCAAGAATCCATTTCCCAAATTTCCAATGATTAATTCCACGGTTAAGATGATCATAAGTGGGTTTTGAAAGATATTACATATTGTCTGCCCCAAGAGATCCATTTTATATGGTTAGTTTTGTTAACACATTCATTTGAAATGCTACATCAATTTAAATGTATTTTTGAAGTTTTTTAAAAAGAATTTCTGAGTTGCTTCTCATATTGTACTTACTCTTAACTCTCCCACACTCACTAACAAAGGAGCAAACATGGAGGTTTGCAAATGATGGAGTCTGAAGTTCTTTCCATGAAAATGTGTCTCCTCACACAGGCAAGTCAGACCGTAAATGCTTTGCTCACACACAGCTCCTGCAGTATCTGAAGTATTTTCTAGTCAATGATAAAGAAAATATTGGAATCTCAGATGGTAGCACGTAAAGAAAACAATTAAAAACAGTAATTTTGTTGTTTTTCATTATTTACCTTAGTCTACATATTTTATTCTAATTGAGCTATGATTAAGAAATTCTTAGTATCTGAAAGCTGACAAAAATATAAACATGTCTATGGAATTTTTTAAGCCATAGGGCATTACCCACAATTCAAAACTTCAGATCCTTGTAGAGTCCTAGCCATATGATGTCCATGGTTCTCGAATTTTTATCTAGGTGATAATGCTATGGGTATCTTTATTCTTTAAATATTAAGTACTGAGAAAAATATTTCCTAATCAGGTAACTTTTCACAAGGCCATAAGTAGATAGGTATATTTGACAAATACCCATAAATGTGTTTATTAAGATCAAAATAACTTATCTATTTTTCAATAATTTATCAATTTTGTCAATATTTGTTGTGCATTGAATTCATACTTAATTTTTACAAAAATGACCAGTCCATGATTATGTAATGTTTCCCATTAAAATTGATAAAGAATTGAAGTATAATATCCAGTAAACTCAGTATGCAAGTTGACCAGTAAAATAAGGAGAAACAAGAGGACCATGAACACTGGCAATATTACTGAAACTGCCTTTTTAACTCTCCCCTTCAAATTAAGAAAGGAGGAGTTAGAAAAATTGGCTATCTTAAGAAAATAAAAGATACCAAGGCATGTAGCAATACAGATGCTGAAATTGTTGCCTATAATCCACAGATTATTAATAACTTTTGTCATTCTTGCAGTCATTATTAAATCTGGATCCATGCATGTAAAGCAAAAACACTTATTATGCTGTGAACAATCATTGAAGAGGGTTAGCTGACCCACACATCAAGATGTCTCCTTATTCAGTTTCTCTGTTGTTCAGCAGGGTTGAGGCATACACAGCACCAAAAACATTAAAATTATAGTCACTTACCTTCAGTTCCCTCAAACGCCTGCTTTGTCAACATCACTAACTGTCACAAGGCTCATGCATCCTGGTAGAGATGGAGAATGGATGCCATGGTATAGTTAGGCACAAATCATTAACTAAAGAGTAATAAAGTACCCATTTAAATTCAGGACCAATTGTTAAATATAGCAGGGAATCATAAATCATAACTTAAGAGATGGCAGATAAAGGCAAGTCATATTTAAATAAGTAGGGATGGCAATAGCTTCAGTCAATAAACCGATACTGAGCAAATAAAATGACCCTGATTCATTTGAAAACTTTCACAACTATCCATCATTTAGTGGTGAGACTTACGGATAAGGTGTGACAGGCCAGTATAGGACATTTAAGAGAAAACATTTTAAGAATAGAAAAACACACATACCTTCAGTATACAGTCATAAAATCCCTGTGCCCTAGTCCCTGTCCAGGTAGCAAAGTGAGCTCAAGTATGAAGAGAAACAACGGGACAAGGGTGGAGCTGTGTGGAATGGTTGCTGATAGTGAGGCCAATGAGGTTCAGAAAAATATCAGGACTTGGGTCTCCAGCAAGAATTACATTAACCTGCAAGGAGCTTTGCAGAACTTCCACATGCAACATTCACTCTGGATTGGAAAAGCTTTTGATTCTATTTGTACAACAAACAGCACCTGGGGAGATTTTTCTTCCCAGACAGGGCCAGCATGGCATGTAGCATGGCTCTAAATTTTCATATATACTGGTGGGGGAGGGAAATGTTGGTATCCTGAAAAGAATGCCCTCATCCATTGCAAAGTCAGTGTCATATGTCAGTTTTATCTAAAACTTTGCATATTTTATTTTAATTCTTAATTTATGAACACATCTATTCACTGACTGCACCAAACTGAAGTGGTCAAAAAAATAGATAAATAAACTACTGTTGGGGAACATTCAAATACACTGTGAACCCCGAGTTAGCATTTGCATTAATTGAATAAAATTAACTTTGGGTAAGGATGTTGAGTTACCAACTAGTTGGCAGAAAGTAATCATAGAATCAAAGAGATGCCCCGTATAGAGCTAGTTGCTATACAGCCTTCTCTCTGAGGTAGCAGTTTTTCACCACAGATTTTGAATATAAAGTTTTATTTATAAACAGAAAAATAGAGATTTGGTTAAAGCTACCTTTAGTGGTAAGGGCAGAGCCAGTGACTGCAGGAACAGAATTTCTACTAGGTTGCTGCCTAAGCAGCCAGCCTGCTGCCAGAGAAGCAGGCCATTAACTGCAGAGTCACAATTGCTGGATGAAAAAGCAGTAGATTAATGCACAGCTGGGGTCAAAACAACAAATTACTATTTTTTCTATGTATCTGAATAATTGTGCTGATTATAAAAATTCTGGTATATATTACTATAAAATTTAAACTTTCATATTAAAATCTAGATTAAGTGATAAATGATTAATTTTTTTATTTTAAGAAAACATATTACCAGAACTTCGTTATTTTCCATTTAACATTAGTATTGTTAATTTACAATAAACTTATGTGAATAGATTTTAAAAGCTCATATAATCAGGGAAATAAATCTGAATAGTCACCTTTATTCAAATCTCTAGTGTTTCAGTGGTGTTTGTGTGCGTGCGTGTAATTTTAATTGGATAAAAAATTAGGAGACTCACCCCTGGGACTGAGTAATTCTTCCTTTCTCAACAGTCTTTAGATTCCTACAAGTTCTTTACCTAGGGATTGACCAGGTGAGAGTTTCCTTTGTCACTATTCAAACCTTGCTCAGGTAGCCGTACTGTTAAGATTTCATGGATACAGTTTTCATACCAAATAATAGAGACACAAACACACAGCAGACTTTTTGATCCTCTGGTGCTTAAAATATTTCTGCCCCCTCTTCCTTGTAGTTTTTGAGCCTTAGGTTCAAAAACTCTGTTGTAGATGTAGCCTCTGTATCTGGGTCCCACACAATCATTGATTACTGCATTAGCCATTTCTATAAGCAATATAAAATTGAATTAAAGTATAAAAAAGCTTAACACATCAAAAAAAGAAACACCTGAAGATTTGAGACATATAGGATTGATGGTGTCTTTAGGGTCTCAGTGGTTTGATCTTTAGGTGCAAATGTCCCACCTAATTCACTAAGCCTCATCTTCATAAAAGTGGATAAAATGGTGACTCACAAGTTCACATGCATAACTACCATATGAATCAACTCTTTCTCTACTTCATATTTCCTCTACTTCTCTACTTTTTCTGTGTTTAGTTTTTATTTTAGAGACACTCTTATTTACATATCCTTCCCCCCATTTCCTTGCCCTCCCACCCTCCCATGCTTCTCACTGAACTCCCACTCCAAGGGACAGTGAGACGCTCCAGAGGGGAATCGTCAAAGTCCATCACATCATTTGGGGGAGGGCCCTCCTTTGTGTATCTGGGCTACAATAGTATCCCTCCTTATCGAATGGGCTCCCAAAGTCCATTTGTGAGCTAGGAATAAGCCCTGGCTCCACTCTTAGAGGTTCCATAGACCGCTGTGGCTTCCTAGCCTTTGTTGCCCTCCTCTATTAATTCCCTGTCTCAGTCCTGTTCTTCTCTCCTCCTCCCCATCCCCTTTTCATCTCCTTCTTTTCCTCCCGCCCCCCCGTGCTCCCATTTGTTCAGGGATTCTTGTCCCCCTCCCCTTCTTTGGGGAACCATGTGTTTTTCTCCTGGGGTCCCCCTAGTTTCCTAGCTCCTGCGGTGTGGATTGTAGGTACTCCTTTGCTCTATGTCTAAAAACATATATGAGTGAGTACATAATATGTTTGTCTTTTTATAACTGGGTTACCTCACTCAGGATGGTTTCTTCTAGTGCCATCTATTTGCCTGAAAATTTCAAGATTCCATTGTTTTTTTCCACTGTGTCATACTCCATTGTATAGATGTACCACATTTTCTTTATCCACTATTCAGTTGAGGGGCATCTAGCTTGCTTCAAGGTTCTTGATATTACAAACAATGCTGCTATGAGCATAGTTGAACATATGTCCTTATTGTATGAATGTGCATTCTTTGGGTATATGCCTAGGTCAGGAATTGCTCTACTTCTATACTTAATGCTTGTTTGAGAGATTGTCATGATGTTTGGGGTCAGGGTGGTCCTGTTTAGTAACAAGGCTCAGTGCATGTTCATGACACAGAAATGGAGAGATCAAATCCCTACAGCATTGGTTTCAGATCACTTCCTCTCCAGCCAAGGACACGTTTGTCTCTGAGATACAAAACAACAAGATCAGAGAATCAAACCATATATAGTGTCTCTTTAAACTCATGACTTATAAATCCTGAACTAGCCATCAATTTATAAATCCAGTCACCATTGAAGAACATATTTGTCTCTATGTGAGAAACAGGCAGATAGTAATTGCACAAACTAATGTGTTTCCTTACATTCCTTGAATGTGTCTGCTTGTCTTTGTCAATGTTTCACATAATCTAGATTGTCTCTGCTTTTAGGACCTGAGAGGAACTCTCCATGGGCTTCCAATGTTGCTTCCTACTGTGGACTAAAGCATTCAGTGAAATGAATTGAAAAGCAGAGCTGTTAGTTCTATTTTGATCAAACCGTGGCCAGTGGAAACAGGAGACAAAGATGAATCAGGTGCATAAACTTCTGACTATTTCTCTCTTAGATGCACTGCTGTCGGGATGGTTGTTCCTTAAACTCCAATACACTCTGCTCAAGGGGAAGTGCTCACTAGCAGAATCACATGCTAGAGCACTTTTT